GAAGTAAGCCTAAAAGCGTTTAACTAGAAATAGTATTTCGAAAGTTATTAAGCACAAAAGATGAATTGCGTTTATTTTGATACACCCTGTATATGATTGTATCTTAGGTGACCTATAATAGGGAATGTAGAATTCTGTTTTAGGTTATTCTGTTTTAATACATCTGATTGTATTATGGATGTAACATATTGAAATTCATTAAAGTTATGGTAAAGTTGCCATACTCAAACTCGAACCATTGTCTCTGGGCAGCCAATGTAATTCAAGCATTGATTATTAAGCTTTTTGAGATCACCATTATCTATCAACTGTGAAGAAGTAAGAAAAGATCAGCCAAATGTTTTTTAAATCTAATTTATTCTTCTAAAAGACTAAATCGTCCCTTTAAAATGTCCCTTCTCTAGGTGTTACTAGTATCAAGTTCAAAAGTGCCAAATAAATGGGTTGTTCCCAGTGGTGGTGTAGAACCTGATGAAGATTTTGCAACAGCTGCTCTACGGGAGGTTGCTGAAGAGGTTAGTCATTTTTCAAGTATACATGTTAATGAATCACAGATCACCCTTGTTAGAATTCAATATTTTTCCTCAAAAGTAGTATCATATTTAACAATTATCGAACAAATATTGAGCCATTGGGCTGATCATGATAATTATTAACCATTGAGTGAAAAGGTGTGATTTGCGCAGGAATCTGAATGACATACTGTAATGCTCAGAAAATATCTATTTTTGAGTCGACCAAAGAGTTCTGCACAGAACTGTACCCATCTCAATTTGTTTACATTGCTTTAGAGATGCTGATAGAGAAACAAAATTTTATTAAAGGTGAACACACCTTAATGAGAATAATTTATTTTAATTTAGGCTGGTGTTAAGGGAACGCTAGGTCGATTCCTTGGAACTTTTGAGGTAAGCTAAGTGAGCGAAACAGAAATGGATCTTGAAAAGTTTCTAACTTGAAAAGTCCATGATGGTATTAGAAATTTAGGAACAATTAACAATTTAAGGTAGCTCACAGAGGTTTTATATTTGAGCAAAGACTATCGGTAAGGCCTGGGACCCAAACGCATGCAGTACTTTAAGCCTGGTTCACACTGGCAATTCTGTCGGCGATTTTTCTCCTGGCAAATGTGATCGAATGAATGAGTCATGCAAAAGACTTAGAACTATTCATTTCTGAAAAGCGACTCTATACTTTTGTGTGCGAGTTCACTCATTTGCATCCGTCAGAAACACAAAATCGCCGACACAATAGACCTTTATAAAAAGGTTGACGTCAGCAGGCTTGTGATGTAGTTTGCGAAAAAATACCGAAAGCTCAGAGTTGTTTACTTGTTTTGAGTTTTTTAAGAGCCAAAAGAAGCCAGTATTATGGTAAGTTTGAAGTAAATTTTTCTATATACAGGGTGTATAAAAAAAAGCGCAATCCTCGACTGAAATGTAAATTGCTAAACAAATAATAGACGAAAACGTTAAAGTTTACATTCATTTTAAAGCGTAGCCATTCAGCTTTCTAACAGTTGGTTGTTTCTTAAATTTGACTCATTTGTTCGCGGGTAATAATACTTTACGTTATTGCGATTGGAGATTAAAAAAATTGAGATGGAATAACAAATCGTTCTCATGAAAATAACTGATTTTTTCATTAAAACAAAAATGTTGCATTTTATTAAATGGATTGTAACAATAAGTATAATTACGGCTTTTCTTCCACTATTTTAACTCAGTTTGAAACTTCAAATGCGATATAATTTTGGCTTGGACCATCTAAGCTGACTGACATCAACTTGCTATAATTTCTGTTTACATTACATCGCAATTCGATGACACTCTGGCTCAGACACCAGAATGTTTTGACGATTTTAGCATTCGTTTAGGATTTTCAAACAACCTGGTCTCTTTTAAAATACTTTTAATTTGTTCTTACGTGGTTTTCCAGATGTAGTGACGACAACATTAAAGTTTAAAGAAGAACATTCTAACATTTAAACCGACTAAACAATAACATAGTAAACTTGCATAATTAAACAGCAACTAAAAATGATAGGTTTTACTAAATCTTTTCCTGTGCAATTATTACTAGCATTTGAGACAAGGATAATAGTTTGTTTGAAAGAGAAAAGAACAGGCTTTGAAGTAAGCATAAAAGCGTTTAACTAGAAATAGTATTTCGAAAGTTATTAAGCACAAAAGATGAATTGCGTTTATTTTGATACACCCTGTATAGTGCGCATACTCAGCCTTGTGTTACGTCCCACAAGCATAAGAGCTGTTTTGCGAATACCTCGGGCGTAGATCACGATGCTATAAACATTTCAGACATGAATATTGAGTAAGGCCCTGTTTACACTATACCGGATTGCTATCGGAGTGGGTCAAATTTTGTAGGTATCGAAAGGCTGTTAAGATTTTTAATCTCAGAGACCCAAATAAACATGC